TGGTCCAATATTGTTCAACACGAATAGAAAAACATATTACAACTATTAATGTTCAGAAATTGATTGAGAAAATATTCTTTAAGAACTTCTTAAAAAAAAATGCTCTAAAAGGGAGGGCCTTTGGTGTGCCCGGATATGACATTATAATCTTGTTAGAATCGTGCAGTTTTAATACGCGCCGTCGACTACAACACAATACTCCAAATACCGTATGTTGTCCGACCGCTCATATTTAGAGCATATACTCGTAAGTACTACTCTCAATTAAACAACGTATTAAATTGTCACGAATTCGTCACATCCAGTTTTCGATTGAAAATACTTCGTATATCTGTGTGATGTGAAGTATATTGCAGCTGGTGTCGAATAAGTAGGTAAGCCGAATTCGTTCGAGCGATGCGCGCGGACAGCATTCGCAAGCGTGTAATCGCCGTTATGATTTTATATATAATATATTTATTGTCATTGCAACAGGAGAAACTGAATATAGTGTTCTAGTAAATCGACATAACATTACTTTGTAATATCATATGTAGGCACTCGTATGGATAGAATAGGTGTAATGCCGTCGCAATATTTTCGTCAACGATGATTTTAATTTTCTGGTTCGGTGTACGTATGTATTGAATACATGTATTATCATATTTTACCGCTGAAAAGATTTGACAGTTTTGTTATAATAAATTTCTAATCGTACATACTACGTATAATACAATAAATAGCATAAGACGGCGTTTTACCGATCTGTTATAAATGTTATAATGTTATATTTTATGATAATATTAATTTCTTAATGTTACAGAGTGACGAGAATTTATTCAGTTTACTATATGCTGACACGTGTGGATACTAATATACCCGCAGATAATGATTATTCGAATCGTCCGAAATAGGTGAGGCGTCTGAGAATAAAAAAAAATAAAAAAATAACGCTCCTAGCGGAAGCGGGCCTCAAGCAGGAGACCTTCAGATCAATGTAGCTCGCGTGTCCGTACACGAAATCACGTATCCCCCGGGCTATTCCCAAATCAAAACATAGATGTGCGACGGTTGGCGAACCGCATTTTTTACCGTTCCATAATATATTTCAGACGACTCTTGTTCGTATTTATTATTATTTTTTTTTCCGAACAACTACGCGTTGATCGCACGCAGAGAGCACAAATCATTCAAATCACTCACACACATCACACGATATATTTACATAAACTGTTTACGATCATATTATTATGTACACGAAATAGAGTATGAAGCGCGCGCGCGTGGCTCTCCGAAAACGACATAATATTATAAAATGAAATATTACAACCATAATAATAAAATGTGTACAATTTGATAATGCACACGCTCATCGGGCCACTCGGATCATCAATGTATTTATATGCGTGTTAATAAAAGTTCTTGTTTGCGCAGGATTCAGTGTTAGGCATTACGCAAACAAAATATCCTTGGTCGCCGCAATAACAATACAATACATTCGTTGCTATGTTAAAAAATAAAATAAATCCAGTAATGTTTTCATAAAACATTTTTAAACGTGTATAATATATTAATATGGCCTATAGTTAATATATAACACTTTATAATACGTATGTTTATATTATTACAGTAGTTACGTTTATTTACACACTCGTAAAATGCGTGTAATCGGTTGTATGGTTGAAAGTATTTTTCTGGTATCAATATAATAATATTAATAATGTTTTGTATCGATGACGAGTAAATTAAAATTAACCGATTCACGGAAATAATGAAGACAATATCATTATAGAAAGTGTATTTTGTTTTTGGTGGGCGCTCGCCGATCCTACTTAAACAGTGTTGACACATTAATATTCACTATTGACGGGGAAGCGTTCAACAACCCCTTGGAATATCTTATTGTTTCAATAATTTGAACAACGTATACTCTATATATATATTTATACAGGTGCTGTTATACAAAACGCGGTAGCGAGAATGATTGAACGGTTTTTTCAAGAAGTTTAAATCTTGAGATATTCAATCGAATTTACATAATACTTTGACTTTTCAAAAAGTTTAAGATTTCCATTAAAACAAAAAAAGTTGAGCGATAAAGTTCCGATATTTAGAAAAGAAAAGCTATACAAGAGTGCAGGAGAGTTGTTCGTTGTTTTATTGTACTACCGCACGTATAGATATATACGTATATGTTAACTATTGTTGTAATAACAAAATTCCACAGTGGTTTCTAATTAAAATATGGTTTGTATCGATTCATAAAATTAATTACTACGGTGCACAATAATACTACCTACCTATATATTATAATACATCATTATAATAATATTATGTTACGTCAGTTAAAAACCACTGCAAATAACTATGTCGGGACCGTATATTATACCTACTGCAATAATATCTGCACCCATATCGGTGTCTATAACATCCTCATGATAATATTATGTGTACATAAGTTGGGTATAACGTTATTATATTTTACATCGATACAGGCATTCGGCAGCCGCCGCCGGTCGCGTCCAATATAAAATATCTTCCATCACCGTACGGCTCACCCGCCGATCGGTAATATTATCGGCCGACACCTGTCAACCGGGCACGTAAGTCGAAGTCCGCCAATTATAAAAATTAAATTTGTATTACCCATTCGGTCGTATACCTACTCGTTTATAAGGTATACGTGACTCAATACTACAATTTTATTATAATACGTATTTCAATGTGGGCACTATTACGAACAAGCAGGGATTGAATTTATTACTGACTTCTCGTCCATCGTCAAATAAAGGAGAATCACATCTATGCATATTACGGTCCAGACCAAAAAAAATATATTTTTAACTTATCGGAGAATACTATAACATAAGTGATAATACAGAAAAATGCTAAAACAAAAATTCTGGGTCTGTTTCAATTGAGATGTCAGGGAAATAGATTTCTGAAAAAACATGCAGCGGGTGCCTAATAAACTATTTCACAAAAGTTTCGTAGTATATCTATTAAAAAAAAAAAAAAAGAAATTAAAAAATGGTAAAAATCAATACAACTACTATACTGCAATTTAATACATGTAATTAATGCGTACTAAGCTATAAATCATACGCACTGCGCTTTATTCTATAGTAACATAATGTGTTATTATATTAATTGTCGAGTAAAATATGAATAAATTTACTTAAAAAATATATAGATAATAATGATTGCCTTAGTATCTAAGTAAAATCATAGTCGATTTATTATAAAAATGTAGTTAATAAAGAAATATTTTAATAACTAATAACGGTATCATGTCTTAGAATATTAATTATGTTCAATTATTTAAGAATATTGTCGTTAGTTTTGATGAAATTACTGTTTATGAATATTTATTTAATTATTTATGATTTGTTTTTAATTAATTTAACAGTATATTGAACTAAAAAAATAGTAAGAAATCTATTATAATGTAGTTATATTTTATTTTGTTTGTCTACCACATTTTGAGATAACAAAACTATTGTTATTGATAAAACCTAATTTAATTCGTTTTAATGGTAAAATTAAAGTACCAACTACTATTATCATTATTATTACTGTTATTTAGGTCACCATCCATTATTTTAATAACAAAATTGTATATTAAATACACTCAGTAGGTGCCTAAATATATTGTACTTTCATGTTTATAAAAGTGGTAAAACAAATAAAAGTATTTGTATTATTCATCTTTATTTTTTATAACATACAAAACTATTTCAGATAACTAGTAGCTTAAAAATTTTTTACAAACTATAATACATATATGATCATGTCAAAATTTTTCTTTATATAAACAATCATAAAATGTTGTGATATGAGTAAAACATACGTAGTCTGCTCTTATATAATATTGGTTTAATAATGTTTTTTTTTCTAATAAAAAATGTAAGCACTAATTATTATGAATAACGTCGAACAAAAATATAGTAAAATAATAATAATTTTATATCATACAGTAGTAAAAGCTAATAATCCGATGGTTCTTGGGAAGAAAAAAAAGCTTGTTATTTTTAGGTAAAATAGATATTTATACAATCAAACACTCTAACCGATAAATTAATAAATTACAAACGCTTACTGTACTTACAGAATACATTAAATTAATGAAATTTAATATTCACATGCTATTTCAATCTTCGATGTGTGTTTAAATATTTTTGTTTGTTGATATTCATGGTCAGTTAGCCAAATCAAAAATAGAAAAAACTTTATTTATACCAATGATAATTAATTGGTATAATATCATAAAACTATACTCAGTATTTTTTACCAATATCGCAAACCCTTAATAATAACTATCACTAAATAAACTTAAATATTATTTGCATCAACAAAAAATTCATATCTCAACATAATCTGAAAAAATAAAATCTGATTTAACATCTACAAAATTTACTATCGATGTACATGTTTTTTTTTTTTTTTTTTGGTGTACAAACTATGTAGGTACAAACTATGAAACATTAACTGAATTTAAAAATAATGACGAACAGATATGCTAATAGATACGCTCGATGTATATTTAGTAAGACGTTTAATATTCGATTTATCCGTAAATTTATTCTTAAGTACCAAGCAATTCTTTTGTCTGTTTCAAATAGTTTCAAATTAACAATTAGGTTAAATGTTCATGAAAATGATACGTATTATACCGATTATATAGATGATAAATCACAGTACTAGATTGATAACATTTGCATGCACCCGAGCGGGCAATAAAAATTCCCAGTAGGCATCTATTTCCTTTTATTAGTTAGCTCTACGATCCATAATTTTTAACGGACTTAATAATTTACGAAAAATAGTGCACATAAAAAAGTTTTAAAACTAACTTAGCTATAATGATTAACCAAATATTACGTCATGCTACCTTTAACAATGTCTAATTGAACAAGTTAATACTAAATACGAAACCAAGGTACTACAATTTTATTTAGGCTCAAATAAACTACAGAATATCATAAATGACTGATAATATAGCGAAAAAAAAGCTTTTAGCATTATAATTCATTACAATATTGTATATTACATTCTGGTAACTTAGTTTTCAAATGATCAATCATACTTACTGGTTGGCTTGAAATTTTTAAATTTTTCAACTCCAAATATTTTAATGCTCTGTAAATTCAAATAATTAATTACATCTTTATCAAATAAGTTAATTGTATTCCTACTGAAGTTGCTCCAATGACCTTATTCCTTGGTCAGAAACATTTACACAGTCATTAATTTTCAAATCTGTGATGTAATCTTTTAATATATTAAGTTTACTTAATGCTTCATCATCAATCGAATCGCATCCATCAAATTCCACTTTTGAAATATTTTTACAGTTTTCTGCCATCAACATCATTAGAAAAAATAATTTTATTATAATAAATAATGGAAAACCTACTAAAATAACTAAATCCTTTGTGTGAGATTGATGCATCTCTTCCTGCATAAACTTGTTCTATTAGGAATTGTTTCAAATGAATTGATGTAATGTTTGGCAAGCAGTCATAATGGCAGACGTATTCCTTACAACCTTTCCATCTTACTCGTGCCCCATTTTTCATAAGCCATTCGGCACACGCCAAGTTAGGTCCAATTTCTTTGATACGATCATCGTCTAAACTTTTTTTTTATAAAAAATGATTGTTAAAATACAGCAACAAATAACAATGCTCTTAAATACTTAACAATCATATTTCATTAAAAGTAAAAGCACTTGCCGATTGAATGTGTCATCGATCCATTGCCATAAACAACGTGTATTTATTTTCATAATATTTTTTCTAAAAAAATGAGATTGTAAAGTTGTTAATATCATGATCCCAAAATTAGCACGATTGCGCAATATAACACAAAGTAAACTCTATTACACTTAAGAATTGTAATTTATAGTTAGTGTTAATAAACAAGTTTTGGAAATTATAAAACATAAAAAAATGTATGTTTGATAATAAACAAACTCAAAAACCAGAGAAATGATAATACTAAATACTACGTAATAGTCACATTAATATGACAAATTGTTATTCTTATAATAATGCATACATAACGACTTATAAAATATTTGATATTTTGTTAAATAAAAAAAAAAAAAGTGATAAAAAAAAATAAATATACCATGTAAAAACCACTGAGTGGTTACCTACATCGCATATACATAATATCTTCAAAATAATTTCGAATCAACAATTCCGTTAAAATTTAAACACTCATAAAAAATAATGTGGCTTTACTTTGAACATTATTTTTTTTAAATTTTAGTAAGTAAAACTCATGGTAAACATTGTATTCAATTTATTGTGAAGGGTTTTTTTACTCACAAATAAAAAATTTATCATACATAATTTAAATAAAAAATAAAAAAGTAGAATATTTTAAATTTTAATAAATAGGTTTAAAAGAGCTAACAATTTTTTTAAATTTTAATACGTTTAGAAAATTAAAATATAAATAATTTATAAAAATTCTAAGTATCTACTGTTATCTATTTTTTAACTACAAAAATTAATGGTAAGTAATATTATATTCTCATTTTATTATTTTCAAGAATTGAAATAACTAAAAAAAAAAAAAAAGGCGAATTTATACTTTTCCCCGCAAAAAGTACAAACAACATTCAATTTAGTACCAGAAATCTCTTTCAAGTTTAAAATCAAAATATTGTTTCTTCTAAAAAGTGTCTTCAGAAAAACTATTCTCTAAAAAAATAAAAATAATTAAAAAAAAAACCTTACAGATCTTCGTGAAACCAATAAATTCATTTCTTTGAAGCTCAGCGTCTAAAATATTTAATGAAAAGCAAAATTAATTATAAACAATATTGTATTTGTATATATCTTAATATATTATACGCAGCGCTGACAGGATTGTATTAGTAAGATGTACCTATTTGTACTTTGTATAGTATACCTAGTTGAAATTATGACGGACATTAAAATTTAATAGTAAAAGAAAAATAATAATAATAATTCAAAATGAATGATACTTTAATTGCTATGAAAACAAAAACGAATTTCGGTCCCGAGTGATTTTCAAATATTTACAATGCGAATATTATTTACATGACGTGCCCGTACTTATAGATAACAATAGCTATTAGTTAATAGGTTATTCAAAATAAAAACGCGAAACCCTTTCTGACGTTTAAGGAGTATATTATTGTAAGACACGATATTATTTTATGATGCTTTTAAAATAGATTCATCTGCGCGGGTTTCCGATGAATCGTATTGTTAAGTAGAGATTCTCGCACATGCGCGCCAGCCCACTGTTTCGTTTTATAATACACAACAAATATATTATTGTGGTAAAACGCGTACACAGCGATCGTGTCCGGTCGATATAACAAGTCGGCAGGAGGGCCGACCGATCGGCGAATGGCCCCGTTCAAAGAGAATATTCATACTTATATACGAAATGGTGAGATAAAAGAAGAGTGTGTGTCAAAGAAAAGGATAGAAAAGGATTCATACGTACGAGTGTATACAATAATATCGATATAGTAATACGTATATAATAACGACAGAGATATTATAATACTAAGCCACTGTTACACTGGCGGTGGTATATGGCCATATGGGTAGGTACTCATAATATAATGTATTCTGTTTATACTCGACTAAACGTTTTACGGGTCGACTATAACATAAAGTCCGTTTCGGTTCATTTTCCCGGAGACGTGGACCAGAAGATCAAAATAATTTGACACGCTATTATAATAACAAGAGCTTCGGGTTTCGACGCGCGGCTTGTATTTAAGTAAACTATATATCAGTATTGTCGTGAACACTGCACAATCGTTTACGACAGGTTTTTGTGACACCGAAAAGGCCGTCGTCGGTATAATATAACCAGATATTACTTATAAGTGGTATATACCTATGCGCAGGTGGTAAAGGGTGATCGAACGAGATAGAAAAAGTATAACAAAAAAAAAAAAAAAAAAGAAAAAAACGGTGTATTAGGTATAATGTACTAGTGTACACGACTGCGGTTGCCACTTGATTGACGCTGGCCCTCTGTCATCGCCGTTATGGTGGTCCTCATAAAGCATCTCTTTGTGTTCGGACTGGAAAAACGCAGCCGAGCTAAAAGTGATCACGTCACGTGCCATTTGATAACGTTAATAGGCATAAGTAGTACATAAAAACAATGCGCAGCGAGTTACGGGATCGCAGTTGCGTCATCTGGCGCCGAACCGCACAGGTATTGCGTATGCCGCGACTGCGGTCCGCCGTGGTTGCGACCTGCAATGCCCGATAGAGACGGAGAAGCAACTGACGATATCTGCGTGTATATCCCACAAATCTATATAAAATTTAATATAATATAGGTCTACGGCGCATACTTACAGTTACATGACATGGAATCCTAACGGAAAGTCTACACAACTGTGTTACGGTCTCATTACGTTCGGGTAAAATAGTTGTGCGCGGGATTTTCGGCGGGGAATTGTAGGAAAAGAGAGCTAAATACCCGATTTAGGTTCGAGAAAAACGTTAAGACGATGTTCACGCCGCATACCTATACATAGCTGACACGACAACAGACATAAAAATCAGTGACGTAAAACACGCCGCGTGTAATATCCACAGTGGCGGTATTCGATCGATACGCGACAATATGAACTGTATAGTGTCGTGATAATGATATCATAACACAATGAATGTATACGTATAATGTTTCCAAGCAATACATCATCATCGCGGCGTAATACGCATAATAATATCAAATATGCAACGTTTGTCGGTAAGAGCGTCGACGACGACCGTGTCAACGACGCGCGTATATAGTTGATTACTGTTGTTATATTTTTATTACAATATAATAAGCGTATCGGGTGTACAATATACGTACTATAGCAATATAAAACACGGATTACGCTATATATTGAACTATGAACTTTTTTGTGTGTGCATTAATATGCGAATAGCGAGCGCGTCAATGTCAAAAACGAGGTTTTTTTGATAGTATTATTACGCTGTCGTCGAGAATTTAAATTATTATTATACTGTCGTCGTGTTATTATTACTATGCTATCGTTATAATTGCCACATTCGCTCGCGGCCGAGTGTTTGATTTGTCCGTTGACCCGAAAACGGACTGAATCGATAATCCCAGTAAACACACACACACATATATATATATATATATATTATAAATTAAATATGTGTGTGTGTTTGTATATATATATTATATACAGCACAAAAAGCGCCCGAAAAGTTTCACTCGATCCTACAGTGTGGGCGTGTGTATTTAATATAGTAATTAACTTGAAAACTCACGGACAATATTGTTATTGTTGTTGTTTTTAATTGGACACTGTATATATGTACGTTATGATGATATTTGGTTTTCGGGCGGATACCGGTAGAATTTACTATAAACGTATAATATCGTAATACACATCCACCGGATATGGAAGTGACGGCAGCGGCGATGTTTGTGCAGAAACGTACGAAACATCCAATACGACTGCGGCATTTGCCGACGAGACTTTTGCCGACCGCCCGTCCGCCAAAAGGGTCGGCGGAGGTTAGCACTTCAAAAACAAAAACAACGACCTCGCGATCCGTAAACCGAACATTGGTGTACAAATAACATACACACATACACGCACATGACGTGTACTTTACTAACTGCACACAAGTGCCCACGCGAGTGTAAATTTTATTTTTTCGTTTTATATTGGTCTATTAACTCATTACTCATTTTTGCCGAGCGATAAACGATCGGCACATATAAAACGTCTACTCGGTGGCGGCGGCGGGGTCTTCTGTCGGATGTTATTGATGGATTTCCTCCACGTCACGACCGATGTGTTCGATCACAGAGTGTTTCCAAACACTCTGGGTATGTCTATACTCGTATTTATAGTTATACACTTTAAACCTATATAAATATGTGCTTGTGTGTGTGTCTGTGAGAGTGTGGTTCACACCTAATGAACCCATGGCGGGAGGCGGTGGGCTTGTGTGAAAGTTGTAAATCGAAACTGTATATACTCACATACCACTCCATAATCCTTTTCCACCGTCTGTAAAACGAATACATAGTTAGCCTTCCTGGATTGTATACCTATAGCAGCGATGTTTGTTTTCTCGAAGCAAAAAGATAATTATGTACATGTATGTATATTGTATATAATATATGTGTGTGTTTGTGTGTATGTATACTGCAGTACCTATATTATTACAATACCGTTTTGTGTTGTAGTGAATTATTTTTTTCGTGTTATTCGAATAACTGTTTATGCGCTGTTTAGAGTAAACGGATATTAAAATTACTTAAACTGCAGCGTATAATCATATTATACTCGAAGTTTGAGAAGAATGAAAAATATTTAAACTGTCGAAAATTCTTAGTTATTGAGATTCGAGCTGTCGGAAATCGGACTGCAAGTTTAACTGATTTAGTTGTACTTGGTCACTCAACTAAATGATAATACGATTAAAACACCATTTACTGTGATAAACAACGTCAATAATTTAGAGTACAGTTAGAGGGCAATAAGTGCAGTGTCAAAGTATTCAGAACAGTTTTGACGTTACTAAAACGATTCCAACTGACCATAACAAACATAATAATGCATTCAACTCTAAATTCAGTTGGCGCAGCAGCGTAATATTATATAAAGTATGTAAACGTTATTTCGCAAGCTTCCCGGCGGCAAAACAATAAAAGACATTACAAAATGATATATTGCACCTGAGAGGCTTTTTGTGTAATATAATACGTAATTGTGTTCCGGTCGAGCGGCAACCGTGTCGAAAAATTAAAACGAGACTCGCCCGCGAATAATATAATATATTTACTGCA